AAGGCTCAGAGAGGTGCGGCTCCAGGAGGTGGAGGGGCCTGACCCCTGGGAGAGAAGGGACCCCGAGAAGGGCTGTTGCACTGAAGGGGGTTCGCCCCAGGGACCACACGGGGCCAGGAGTGGGCCCGACCTGGGAATCCGTGACAGGGTAGGAGGGTGGGGCAGAGTTGGAACCTGCTGTAATACTTGGTACGAACCCTCCCTTTCCGCATAGGGTAACCAGGCTTGGGGGGGGGGGGGGGGGGGAAGAGAGGCTGCTCACTCTAGGGAGGGGTGAATGGCACCTGCTGGTCCCAGGTCAACATGCAGACAATGGCAAATCCAATTCCCAGGCCATTTACTACCTAGCAACTAAGGACCACAGCCCCCCAGCCACAGCGAGCAGTTGGGGAACCAAGAGCTGGGGGGCAGGTGGAACGGGACAGGAGAGAGGGACAAAGTGGGAGCCAAGGGGACACCCTTTGGCTGGGCTCTGGGTAACCAGGATGGGCCAGGCTGTAACTTCCTGTTCTCTGCGCCAACCAAGGAACGTCTACACTGGGTCAAGCCAACCGATAACCCCCCTGCTGAGAGGGGGGCAGTGCTCTCTCTCGGGGTACAAGCCTCCCGCAGGTGTCCCATTCAGGTGGGCTCGCTGCAGGGAACGTACGGCATGACGCAGGGGTGCTGACGGCTCCGAGGTTCAGTTCCAGGAGGTCGAGGAAGCCAAGGGGGAAGGAGGGAGACCCTAAGGGGTCCAGCCCACTGAAGGGTCCTCCCAGGGGGACCTGTGGCTCCGTGACAGAGGGATCCTTGCTCTGATCCAGGCTGCGTGGGGAGGGGAGTGCTTGGCCCCAGACTGGCGGGGATGCCAGGAACGGGACTGAGGGGCACTCACCTGGCGCAGGTCCTGCAGGGCGGCGCTCAGCCGCTCGCTCTCGGCACCCGCGTTGCTCAGCTGGCACCGCAGCTGCCTGAGCTCCCCCTGCTGTTCCTCGAGGCGGGCTGCCAGCTGGGCCTCCTTGGCCGCAGCCTCGCGCACCAGGCTCTCCTCCCGGTTCTCCCCGGCCACCGCTGCCCGCTTGTGGCTGCTG